GTGCCAACCTGCTTTCCAAAATACTCCAGTCACAATAGTCCAACGGATTGGTATCCGGAGATTTTGGTGGCCATTGTGCGCTGGAAATGAAGCGACCACTGCGACGCGGGTTTCAATCAAGTCGCTTCTTTACTTTTTTTGGAAAATTCTCATCAAAATGATTTTGTACGCTTGTAAACAATATAATTAGCTGTCGCTGGAATAATTTTAACAGCTGTCGGACGAGTGGCTTAGAAATGGCAGCAGTCGGAAGTTGATTGCAGTTTTTTCAACTCACCCTATACTCATCAGAATTGTTTCAAATTTGGTATTTGAGATTCGTAATGGGTACTACAGCCTATGACAGGACATTATATGGTATAGCCCCCATATAACGGTACCTCCCGGTATTCGGTATTTTGATGATTTTGGAGAAATTATTTACCGGAATTGTTTTAAGCTTGGTATTTGATGTTCGTAATGGACGCTTCAGCCTATAACAGAAGATTGTCTGTGCAGGTCCACGTCTTCGTATAGTCCCTATTTAACGGTACCTTCCGATATTCGGTATTTTAATGATTTTAGCAACATTATTCACCGGAATTGTTTCAAATTTAGTATTTGAAGTTCGTAATGGATATTACAGTCTACGACAGAAAATTGTCTGCGTAGGTCGACGTCTTCGTATTGTCCCCATGTAATGGTACCACCCAATATTCGGTATTTTGATGATTTTAGCGACATTATTCACCGGAATTGTTTCAAATTTAGTATTTGAAGTTCGTAATGGATATTACAGCCAATGACCAGAATTGTTTCAAATTTGATATTTGAAGTTTGTAATGGATATTACAGCCAATGACAGAAAATTGTCTGTGCAGGTCCAAGTCTTCGTATAGCCCCCATATAATGGTACCTCCCGATATTCGGTACTTTCCTACCGATATTCGGTACTTTTTTGATTTTAGTGACACTATTCACCGGAATTGTTTCAAATTTGGTATTTGAAGTTCGCAGCCAATGACAGAAAATTGTCTGTGCAGGTCCACGTTTTCGTATAACCCCCATATAATTGTACCTCCCTATTTTTGGAATTTTGATGATTTTAGCGACATTATTCACCGGAATTATTTCAAATTTGGCATTTGAAGTCGTAATGGATACTACAGTCTAGGACAGAAAATTTTCCGTGCAGGTCCAAGTTTAGGTATAGCCCCCATGATTTTAGCGACATTATTCACCGATTTTTTTTTTAAGTTTCGCATTTGAATATTGCAATGGCTTTTGACAAAAGTTGCCTATGTAGGTCCACGTCGTCGTATAGACCCTAATATAACGGCTACATTCGGTAATTTTAACAGAATTTTTAACGTATTTTTTTTTTTTTTGAATTTTGCCAAAATTAGTTCCAAATGGTGAAGGGTATTCAAAGTGCGGTCCAGCCGAACTTACAGCTTTTTTACTTATTTTTGTTTTGTTGAAAGTCCCATAGAAATCTAGTTTTTTAATTCTTTTGAAAATAATTTCTATTTGCCACTATCTCCACCAAAATTTCTAAAACCACAAAATAACGGTATGGTGTATTTGTTCTCAAAAAATATTAATTTTGGTACCGCAAAATTCAAAGGATTAACGTATGTTTTCAATCGAAATCAAAACATATTTAACTTGTATCTTGTACTATCTTGTCTTCTCTAATAAGCTACTGAACCCATAAATACGATAAGAATGGTATTTAATTTCTTTTTTTGTTTTGGAATTCCCTAAGAGGAATGCGAAACAAGTTTGTGGGAATCACAAAGCTTGTTTGTATGGTTATTTGTTCATTTAATACGAACCATAAACAAAAGCCTAATAAAGACATTTGTATATTTTATGCATACAAATGGAGACATACAAATGGACAATAATGGAATTAAGCCTGGCCATTTTGCAACAAATAAAGAATTGTTATAACCTTCACTTCTAATTTTCAATCCAATATTTTATTATTATTTGAGTGTTATGAAGAGTTATTTGTATCTATCTGCATTTCCGCTAAAAGTAGTTTTTTCTCTAAGAACAGGTTTCTTCTCAATGGCCTATTTCGTGTTTATATATTTTCATTAATATGCATTTGTCGTAAACAAATGATAGAATATACATTTATTCTATTTAGTGTCAAGACTATAGGGGTGTCAAGGCTAGAGGAATGTCACGACTGTAAAGATGCTGCTGTCTAAAATCGTTGCTTTGTTTTATCTTCGATGGAAAAAGCCCGCCAATTATTGGATCTCATTAACATGTTAAATATGTCAACAAATTTGTTTTGCAAAAAATTTGAACCGAACATTTGACATCTGTTTGTGGAATCACTTCAAAAAATTTGTTGTTTTTTTTTTTTTTGGGAATCACCTTGAGCAGAAAAAACAACATTCAAATGATGGAGTGTTTTGATTTATATTTTGTTTATTAAAAAAAAAAGACAAATAAAAAAGACATATTTATAAATCCTATATAAGATACGAGGGATGTTTCATAGAAAGGATCAAAATTATAAAAAGAACAAAAAGAACAAGGAAAAAAAAGCGGCTAAGTTTGGTGGAACCCAAAATCACAAATTAGAAGGAACTTGCAAAATCTAAAAAAAATCATCCAAAATGTCGAATATCAGGATCATTACGAAAGCTTGGGACTGTATTGGCAAATATCTCCCAGAAGAGTCTTATTTGAGAACTCTAAACACCTATTTTACGATAATTTCGGTGAAATATGTGGCTAAAAAGACGAGATCAAGGCCGACAATTTCTCACAGTCTCCATATGACAGCAATTTTCTGTCATAGAAAGTAGTACCTATTAAGAACTTCAAACTGTCTATTTACGGATTAAAATTGTGATTCCAACGACTTCTTATACCTTCAGCCGTATGGCTGTAGAGGGTATATATATTTTTAATACGGCCACAACGTGGGTCATCGAAATAACGGTTTAAGACCCTAGGTCCCTTTGGACAAAACTCGTTTCAGGACAATTGGAGTCGATCTAGAGTCCGTCTGTCTGGCTGGTGCGCACGATAACTCTCGAAGAGAGTATCCGATTTAATCCGAACTTGTTACACCATACTATTATTATTAAACTTATATCGGGTTCGGAGATGGGCAAAATTGGTCCACTCCTTCTGGTGACTCCCCCACTAAAGATCGAATTTTTTACTAAAAAAAAAAAACAAAAAAAAAATCACTGCACAGAAAGAGAAAGGATTATCTCATTTTGCTCCGACTTTGCATCAGTACTAGGTCAGGTGGAAAATGGACAATATCGGTCCACTCCATCAAGTACCTTCCCCACAAAAGGGTCAATTTTTTAGATCTCTTTTGAAATACGTTTCAGGACATTTTGAGTCGATCTAGGGATGTCCGTCCGTCTGGCTGGCTGGTGAGCACGATAACTCTCTCGAGTTCGGAGATAGGCAATATTGGTCCACTCCTTCTGGTACCTCCCCAACTAAAGATCGAATTTTTCACAAAAAAAAAGTATTTCACTGCACAGAAAGAGAATGGATTATCCGATTTAGCTCCGACTTTACAAATCCTAATATTTGCATCAGTACTAGGACAGGTGGAAAATGGACAATATCGGTCCACTCCATCAAGTACCTTCCCCACAAAAGGGACAATTTTTTTAATAATTATAACTCTTATAAAATGTGATGTAAAAGTCCGATTGTCTTCAGAATCCACCCATCCCAATATTATTATTAACCCATTTTGCTGCAACTTTGCAAATCCCGATATTAGCATCAGTGCCACGTTTGCTGTAAAGATGGAATATATCGGTCCACTCCTTCGGGTATCTCCCCAACAAAGGGTCAAAATTTTGAATATCCATGAAGCTCATAAACCGCGAAATTAACATCCGAAGCCATTCAGACTTTTCACATCTCAATATCTATATCAACACAAGATCTGTTATAAAGATGGTAGTGATCGAACCATTCCTTCCTGTACCTTCCCCACAAAGGTTCAAAGTTTTGAATAACAAAAACGATAATAAAATTCGAAATAAGCATCCGGTTCTCTTCATATTTCACACATTCGATTATTTCTACTAACACAAGATTTACTGTGGAGATGAAATATTTCGGTCCACTCCTTTTGGTACCTCACCCACAAAGGGTAAAATTTTTGAATATCCAAGAAGCTCATAAAATGCGAAATTAATATCCGATTCCATTAAGACTTGGCGCATCTCAATATTTCTATGAACAAAAGATCTGTTATGAAGATGGTAGCGATCGGACCATTTCTTCTGCTACCTCCCCCACAAAGGGACAAAGTTTTCAATAACCAAAAAGGCTCAAAGAAAGCGAAATAAGCATCCAACTGTCTTCATATACAAACATATACAAACATTTTTGCTAACGGAAGATCTGTTGTGAAGATGATGTATATCTGCGAACCCCTTCTGGCTTCCTCATCACCCACAAAAGGACACAATTTTCAATACTTTTGTCTGTCATAACTTGCGAAAAAAATCTTTACAACAGCCTGTATTTAAATATTTCTCTTAACCAGAAACCTGAGATGAATATGAAATTTATGATTTCGCATAATATTGGATCTAAATGTTCGATTTTCTTGTAATTTTGAATGAAACTTGAATGAAACTCCCATTAATAATTTTTGCTAGAAAAAGTAGTAAAAAAATAGTTTCATGAATGTCACCTTCTAATTTGGTGCAATGTTATTTTTAAATAATTTCCATTCATTTTTTTTTTACTTGTTTTTTTTCATTCCCGTTCCTTCCCCACAACGTATTTTTCTCAGAGCAAATGTCAAATTTATCTATTCTACTTGTTTTATCATTTAAGTACGGAATCGCAATATATCACATTCTATACAGATTTTTCTTTATATTTTTCCCTTCCTTCCACTCTCTCTCACTCTCTCTCTTTCATACTTTAATAAGTTCCCATGTAGTTTTCATTTCCATTGATTTCTGGGTTTTATTTATTTCGTTACAAAATTGTTAAACTCCAATTTATCCATAATATCCACCATAGCCTCCACGTCCAAAACCGCCATAGCCGCCACGTCCAAAACCACCATAGCCGCCACGACCAAATCCACCATAGCCTCCATAACCACCATATCCTCCACGACCAAATCCACCATAGCCTCCATAGCCACGTTTTTCCCGGACCAATTCCTCAAAACTCTCCTCGTTCACATCCTCAGCCTGGACAAATGATACATAGGCCAAAAAGGCACAAATTACAGCAGCAATCAAAAGGAATTTCATTTTGTTCTTTAGGTTGTGAATTTACCGCACGTTTTGATAATCTGAATCGAAATTGTTTAGGTATTTATAATAACAGATCAAGCTTAATTTTTTTGAAATTTTGTAATGATATTGAGTTTAATTGTTTGGGATAAAACCGCAAATCGTCAATGGGCAATTTCAAACAATTAAAAATTGTTGGCAAACAAAAAAAGAAGGAGAAAAAACCAGGGCAAATAAAAATGAAATAATTATAATCCGAATATTTTTAAGTATCTGAGTTTGAAGGGGTGTCGAACCATATTGGGCAAGGCATCAGAAAGACGTAAAGGATTATGATCCTCTTTGGTAGGATGTTAGCAAAATACGGACATTAAACTCACTTCATATATTCAAAATTGAAAAGTGAAGCCTAAGGAATTCCCCATGGCAGAGTCACATGTGCCGAAATATTTTGGGAATCCAATTATTACATATTTTTTTGTTTTTACTTTGTTTACAAAACATTTAATTGTTTTGAAATTACCTAATGGCTGTTGTTTGCGGTTATACACTTAACAATTAACTCATTTTTTTTCCCAAAAATTTAATATTATATACATGATCTGTTATTATAAAAACATCGATAATTTCAATTTAGATTATCAAAAGGTGTTGTAAATTCACACCCTAAAAAACAAAATGAAACTCTTTCTGATTGCTGCGGCCATTTGTGCCTTTTTGGCATTCGTATCCTTTGCCCAGGCTGAGGATGTGAACGAGGAAAGCTTCGAGGAACTGGTTCGTGAAAAACGTGGCTATGGAGGTTATGGCGGATTTGGTCGTGGCGGTTATGGTGGTTATGGCGGATATGGTAGTTATGGTCGTGGCGGCTATGGCGGTTTTGGACGTGGAGGTTACGGCGGATACTATGGATAAATTAAAATTTAACAATTTATTTGGCAAATTAATTAATAAATCAAAATAAGCAATGGAAATTGTTTTCTCGTGCGATCTTTTTAATGAAATGAGGGAGTTGGAGGGAGAAAGAGTTGCATAGAGAGCTTCCTTGCAGTGAAAATTGAGGTTTTCTTAAATATTTCAAAGAGATGTTTGCTATAATGTTATTATAATTTTTTCAATAGTTATTGAGAGAAATTTGTTAATTATACAAAACAAATTGTGTTAAAAGTGTGCTATTTTTCAACAGCGAGCGTAAGAGAACGAACGAAATAGAAATCAATTCAAATGTACTGTATGAATAAATTGTGCATGAATGATAGAGTGCCATTTTTTGTGTTCCCGTACTTTATAACAAAAGTTGTAAATGAAAGAAATGTGCAATTCGTTCTGAGAGAACTACGTTACCCAAAAAGTTTGGTAAAGACTTTGAGAAGAATTTCAACAAATTTTTGTATGATTCTTAAAAAGAGTTTGGGAAAGGAGTCTCTATAGATGATAATTTTTATATTTTTGTTAGGGATTTAAATGAAATTGTATGTACAAGGACTCGAATCGAAATTTTTAAACACTATAATCGTGTTTTTTTTAATTTACAAATAAAATGAAAGATTATTATCATTATTTTTTTGATGAAAATAAAACTATGAATATGTTAAGGACTATAAATATATTTTAAGGACTATAATCTTGGATTGGTTTTTATAAATTTCATCTAAGAACTACAATACATTCAAAATTTTTTAAAGATAATAATCACGGATTATTATAAAATTTATTTCAGGACCAATTATTGTGGGTTTCAAGGACAAGAAACGATTTTTTAATATTTTTTCAAGAAACGATGTAGTGATTTTTTTTTTAAAGAATATCTCCCAGGGATAAAAGTTGTGGTTTTCAATATCGGTCTTCTCCTTCTGGCACCTCACCACAAATGGTCGAAATTAAAAAAAAAAAAAAAAACAATTTAAAAGGCAGCAAAATATCGTATATAAGGAGGTACCGTTATATCGGAGCTTTGCGAAGACTTGGACCAGCATAGACAATTTTCTGTCACAGGCTGTAGCATCCATTACGAACTTCAAATACCACATCTCAAACAATTTCGGTGGGTATTGTACCTAAAATCGTCAAAATACCGAATATAGGGAGGTACTGATATATGGGGCCTATACGAAGACTTGGACCTGCATAGACAATTTTCTGTAACAGACTTTAGTTCCCATTACGAACTCTAAATACGTAATTTGAAACAATTCCGGTGAATAATGACGCTAAAATCATCAAAATACCGAATATTGGGAGGTACCGTTATATGGGGGATACACGAAGACGTAGACCTGCACAGATAATTTTCTGTCTTAGGCTTTAGTACCTATTTCGAACTTCAAATAGCAAATAAATCAAAATTTTGAATACTTATAACTCTTATAAAATGTGATATAAGAGTCCGATTATCTTTAAATTCCACGCATACTATATTTTTTATTAACCCAAGGTCTGGTATGAAGTTGGCGTGTATCGGTCCACTCCTTCTGGTACCTCCCCCATAAAAGGGTCAAAGTTTTGAATATCCATGAAGCGTAATTAACATTTGATTCCACTCCGATTTGGCACATCTCAATATTTCTATCAACATAAGATCTTCACAACAGATGGTAGAGATCAGACCATTCCTTTTGGTACCTCCCCCACAGAGGGTCAAAATTTTGAATATTCATGAAGTGTAATTAACATCCGATTCCACTCCGATTTGGCACATCTCAATATTTCTATCAACACAAGATTTTTACAACAGACGGTAGATGTCGGACCATTGCTTTTGGTACCTTCCCCACAAAGGGTCAACGTTTTGAATAACCACAACGATTATAAAATCCGAAATAAGCATCCGGTTCTCTTAATATATCACACATTCCATTTATTCTTCTAACGCAAGATCTGCTGTGAAAATGGGATATACTGGTCTACTCCTTCCGGTACCTCCCCCACAAAGAGTCAAAGTTATGAATACCCATGAAGCTCATAAAACGCGAAATTGACATCCGATTCCGTTCACACTTGGTGCATCTCAATATTTCCATCAACACAAGATCTGTTATAAAGAAGGGAGGAATTGCACCATTTCTTCTGGTACCTCCCCCAAATAGGGCTCAAGATGTTGAAAAACAATTTAAATTAAACTTCACACATACAAACATTTTTGCTGACACAAGATCTGTTGTGAAGATGATATATATCCGTGAACCCCTTCTGGTACCTCATCCACAAAGGGTCACAATTTTCAATACTTTTATGTGCCATACGTTCTGAAACAAGTCAGCGATTATCTACAAGTGGCTATATCTGAATATTTCTTTCAACCAGAAATTTGAGATGAATATGGAATCTATGATTTTGCATAAAATTGGATATAAATGTTCTTCGGTCGACTATATCGGCTACCTCAGGCACATGTCAACATTTGGTAAAAAGTATCACATATCTCATATAAAGTGAAGGACGTAACCAATGTAGTCCAATCTGGCACGTTGCAATATTTATATATTTTTTCATTTAGGTCCGAAACGAAATGGACAATATTGGCCCATTCCTTCGGAACCTACTCCATAGAGGGCCATCAGTTTCAATAATCATAAGAGAAGTCAAAAAATATTTAAATAATCAAACATTGGCTGAGGGTATACATCTGTCGGCAAAACCGCCTTATGGTTTTTAACTTGTTTTCATACACACACAAATATTTACTAAATCTTGTTGTCGATTTGGCATTGATGATATCTTCCCAGGACTTTAATGGGATTCCTTTTATTTCGACACAATATATCCAGGAATAGAACCAGGCCAAACAATCCTGAGAGACTTAAAAAATCCCGCCAAACGGAATAAAAATTGATGGGTGAATAAAACACTTAAATCCACGGGTTTCAATGAATTATTGTTGTGTCTGGGGATAGACCCACGTAACAAGTTCATTTCGAAACGCAATAATTATGCTTCTGTTTGTTTGTTAATATCTTTTTTGTATTTTGTGGTTAGATTTCGAACAAATCGCCTGTCAAAAGTATCTAATAACTGTTTGCGGTTACACTTAACAATGGAACGTAATTCTATGAGAATTTCATAACCCAATTATAACAAGTAAGCAATGGCTACAGTCGAGCGGGGCCGACCGTTGAATACCCTACTACACTATAATAAACGATACAGTTTATATAGGTGAGATACTCGAAAGAATTCCACAAGATATTGTGACAAATTATAAAAGAAAACCATCAGGTTTCGTTCTCTAATTTTCGAATAATAGCAACATAAACTAATTTGCTCATTTCCAATTTATTGGTAGATGTTGCACTTAAATGGTCTTCCTAGATCTGGAACCAATATTACCCAAAGACCTATAATTTCTTAGAAGTGGCAAAAGATTAACATTTATTATTGGTTTTTGACTGAAACGCATCTATATGAGATACAGACATTTGACTATATTCTTCAACGAAATCAGCGTTAACGAAATAGTCAGAAGTGCGTCTTTCCCGTATTTGTGAATTCTCCAAAAAGTCACCGGAATGGACATTTTCGTTGTTGGCAAACTATTTCACACATTGAATATTTTTGGATGGCCAACCAAAACTGCTTGGCTTTTGTAATGATCGGTAACCCATTTTCAAGTGTGCGTGAGGATCGGGTGATAATTAAGACCTGCAGACAATTTCGCAGTTTTTTGGTCCATTTCAACCCCTAAATATATGGCGATCATCTCCAAAAAGAGTAGGCTTCTATTCTGACCCTCATCTTATCCCCTTATCAAAATTTCGTAAGGATCGGGCCATAAATGCGATCTGTATATGATATCCTGATATCCTAACTACTTAGTTTTGTTAGCTGCAGAAATATTACTAAATGTTTAATTCAAAATGAAAATATGCCAAAAATATGACAAAATTGGAAAAATATGAGAAAATATTACAAAATCAATATTTGCATCTTTAGAGAGATATTTTTATGCGATTTTTTAGACGTTCTTTCTTTCCTGCCAAGAGGCCATTCTGAATTAATGAAAACTGTCGAAATCAGTTCAG